ATTTATGTAGCCCGCACAAATACAAGCACTCGCCAGATGCCCATCCAAACGTTATGGCAATTTTTATAGAGGTTGAGTGAGGGGCACATTCCAGAATGACATGTCTGGAGGCGAGTACTTTTTCTGTATGGCAAAGGGGCTGTATATTGCTCTTTCTTGTCTCGATCCTATCTATCACTGAGTCAATATCAGTGCAAGAACAACAGAACCAACTGTTCCTATAGCGATACACCTTGTGGAATTCACTTCCTATAAAGCCCTCAAAATCTTGCTCAAGCCTTGAAATCATAGCGAGCGAGACTGATTCTCATAGTTCTGGATACTTGATCTCTGATTAATCTGGGATGAACAGAAAATTACTCAAGTAGTCGGGTGGCTAGCAGCGAGCGAGCGATAGGAGGTCTCCTCCCACCGGTTGCTCCCTCGCCAGAGAGCGTCTCCCACCACCATCACCCAGCGATTGTACGGGTCACGCCCGAATGGCGTTTCTCAGTGGGAGGCTGGCAGTACCTCTGGCTCCTTTGCATTTAACCGAGAAAATCTTTCGCCTTTTACTAAAGATTTCCGTGCAAAGGAGCAATTATGAGTGTGTTAAGAATTTTTGGAATCCCCTCGAAAGAGCGGGATAGAACGGAGGGCTTTCATTGTTTGGATGATTCTTCCACTCAAAGAGGGAACATTTTCAAACAGCGAACATCTTCAAAAATTGGTCTAACTTTTATATTTTTTCGAATTTTTCATTACTGGAATTGTTTACTTCTCTGTTCTCGTCGAGGTTATTCGAAATTCACAAGTATTTTACAATTTTAATACCAGCATAATCCAGAATGCATTTTAACTCGCCCTAAATTCCGAATCACCTGAAATTTTGAGCTCCTGAGCCTTTTTCAAATCAGAACATCAGTTCAGGGATAATGGCTTCGAAATAAAAATTCCCTTTGAAAAAGTAAGTATCATAAGTTGTAGACTTCAGACGTACCGTTCCTGTCCTGCAGTATCCCATAATTGAAGAGCCACAACACGTTCACCTACAGTAATTGTTTTCACTGTGAAATCTACACCAATAGTGGCGTTGAATAACGGTTTGAAGCGATTATAACAAAACCTGTAAATGGAATCGAGTAAGGATATTTGACATTGAACTACTGTTCATCCCTCCTTTCTTTCACCGCCAAGCTTTGAAGTAATTTACCGCACTACTCCTGTTGGAAGACGTTGGGACCTCATAAATTATTACCAAGCCTACACTACTCGAGTAGTGGACTATTATCTACAAGAGGCAGCTTTTTTACTTAGTAGCCGCAGATTGTACAACTTATCTTCGACGCAGATAAAGTCTTTCAGAATACGCCATGTATTCATCCTTTGCTCATGCTGATGGAACCATTGAATACCTGCCCAATGTAATACAAAAGTCTGCCTATGGAACTGCATTTCAGTGCGGCTAGGTATAACAGTGGGTGTGAGANAACTTGTTTGTTTCCAACCTGTTTCTTTGACGGTGGACTGTTCTTTGACGGAATGAGGGTTCTTTGAGCTCTTCGAGTCTTACAATTAAAGATAATAAAAGAGAGAAAACCAATCAAAATATTGGCCCAATAATGAGGGTATTCTGAGAAAAAAAAATCA